GAACGCTCCCTCACCTGTGGGATATACAGCACTTCTCACTCTAGATAAATTGAGTCTCTTTACACGTGGAGACCTAAACGTAGAAGAAGGAAGGACTTTTCTGGGAGAGTCAGTCTTTATTTATAGGCTTGGCAGGAGGATTTTGGATGATGATTCTCTGAGTCTAGAAAAATTCCAGAACAAGATATACTTGAAGTGAACTATTCCAGGGATATGGATATGCTTCTGTATAACCGTGCGTCCTTTTGTTCTTCATCGGCACGTTTGAAAGCAGAAGCTGAGTGCTTTGTGGGCGTGAAGGCAGGTCCTCAGGAGACATTCTAGGGTTGTTCCTGATGTTTCAGCTCATTGCTGGGTAGACAGATGTGACAACACACAGGGCATCCCGAGTCCAAATGGAATGAACAGTTGGAGGCAGCAGCTTGGAGAATAAGGCACTTGTTTTCACGCTGAGGCATTTTAAAACAGGACAAGGGTAGATGCATTCAGGGCAGCTGTGACAGAGAGAGTTATTGCCCTGATAAGAGATTTTTGCAAAATTTTCTCTGAGGAATATGGATTTGAGGAACATAACTCAAATGGCCACAAGTTGTCTTTTAAATCAGAGATCTAATCATGTCTGTCTCCTCAGAAACCTTTAATAGCTCATCATCACGTGCAAGATGAAGTCTTGCTTCCCTCTGCGAGGTGCCTGGGCATTGCAGTGTGGCTCTGAGAGCCTCTGCAACGTATTGCGCAGCTCTCTCCTGTCTTTTCTGTTCTAGCTCATTCAAGCACTGTGCACATGACCTTGACGGGCTCCCTTAGCTTTGCTCAAGCTGTTGGTCAGGTATAGCCTCAGACAACCCTCTTCCCAGCACTGTCAAAGTGCTAGCCATTCTTCAGGTTTTTTGTGTATTCCTCAACCTTCTGTGAGAAGCTGTCCCAGTCCTCCAAATGGCCAATGTTTCCCCTTCCTGCATTCTTATGTGTCACTCTGTGTTCTTGCTGGGACTTGTCACCATTCAGTCTTTGTTCCAAGTTATTAATATGTGAGTCTGATCATACCCTGCAATTATGGACCCCTGGAGGGTCTGCGTCTCATTCATCTTCACATTCTGTATAGAATCTCAAAAAGAGCATTGCATACAGTAGGTGCATTTGAATGGAATTGTTCTTTGTTAACTGAAACTGCTGACTGCTTGCCTTTATTTCTTCATTTGGTCTTTGTATCTGTTTACTAACTCAAGGTCTCAGATCCACACACAGCCTCAAGGCTGGAGTGAAGAATTCTGCCCAGTTCATCTCAGTGTCACTCAGATGCCTATCTTGTTTTGGCTGAGTAGAATGAGTAGATTTTGCTTCAGTGAGAACTGGCCCAGCTCATTTCTCAGTTTCTCATGCTTCCTAATCATCAAAGGAAAATTTGGATTTGAGTTACTCACAGGTTCTATTTCATTTGCAGACAGCCAAGGAGGTTTAGGCAAGACCCTAACAGGCCTGCTGCAGGCACACAGTGAGACTGGTTTTTGTTAACCTTTCTGCATCCATAGTACCATATCAAGTACTGGCTTTGAAATAGACTTTCTTCAACTGTGTTTCTGAATAGTAGCTAGGGTATCTTTGCTGGTCAAATCTTGCTACAGGAAATAGCCTGGAAAAATCTTTCTATTACCAAAGAATGTTTGAACTAAACACACAATCCATTTGTCTAGAATAGTATCCAGTTGAACAGAATTTCTGTTTTTGTTATTATTGTGTCTCTGTGTATATGTGCACACAAGAACACACATACTACACATATGCATGGGAATGGTAGAGGACAACTTCTTGGAGTTGGTTCTTTCTTTCCATTGTGGCTTCTGGGAATGGCAGCAGGTGCTTTTATGTACTGAGCTATCTTGCTGACCCTTGAATAGAAATTTTGGTCTTAAAAATATATGATCAGATTATTGATAGTTGTTATAGTATTTCCTTTCTTTGGAGAATCTTAAAGATGTTTTGTTAAAAACTTGCATTCAACCCACACTCTAGAATAAGAAGGCGTCAAGGGCTGTTTGGGTAATTTAGGTGACAGATCATTTATATAATCTCAGAAAGGGAAAAGGGTACCCCTCAGTGTGTCACTCTACCATAGGGACTGTCTCTCATGTACATATTGTTCCCCATGGTGTCACAATGGTCATGCTCAATTGCACAACTTTTGTGACAAGCTATGGTCTTCTTATACCTTAAGATTTGTTTTTTCCCATCAAAAAGAAAATGTTCTTTTTTTTCATATGCTGTGAAGGTCTTTCAGTGGTACTCTGAAGATGGACGGGTCTCAGTCTGCAGATGAACAGATTCATTTGCTGTCTTCAATAACCACAATCACCACCATCCATTTGTGTAGAGCTGGGGATGTAGAACTCTTCTGTATAGTGGATTGAGCTCTTATGATAACGTGATGTGCTGGCCCTGTTCTCTGTTTCTACCTCAGGTGAAGCATCAGGGACTAGCCACAGCCACAAACCTGGCTCCAGTGTTGTCTGTCCCTGCCAACACCGTTTGTGATATCATATAGCCAATTATGTTTGTTTGTAGTGTTGAACTACTTTGAAGGCCAAGGTGAGATGTTCAGAAGTAAGGTCAGTGTAGGCTGGACCTGGATCTTGTGGGCAGATTAAATCTGAAAGATACAATCAGAACATGTCAGTGCCCAGAGACACAACTCACTCTGTGGTTGAGGGCACAAAAGCAGACCCATGGGCTAAGCAAATATCAGAGTATACATCTATGCTTGGTCTACAGCCAGAATGCATGTAACTCAGCTCCTGTTCCAGGGCTCTTTCAATTACATCAGTGATCTGTAGGTTTCTTTAATCACCCATTTTGTTCAATAAAACATTTTGGGATATTTATCCCCCATCTGGGTCTAGTTATTATGCAGTCAGAAGAGCAGAACCCATATCAAGTAGTTCAAAGGGAAGAATCTATCATTGGGAATTAGTTAAAAAAGGCATCATAAGAGCTAAAAAGCTAACCAGGACATGGCTGACCACACATGCAAGCCAGATCAGCAAAGCAGGGAGCCAGTGTGGCCTTGTGGGTCATGGAGAACAAGGCAGAGGTTGTCCAGCGGGAGCTAGAGTAAGTGATGGCTACCTAGAAGAGGTGGGAGCCACCTGGCAGAGGGAAACCGTAAGAAGACATTGCCACTGAGAAGATGCAAAGCAGAGAGAGAGAGAGAGAGAGAGAGAGAGAGAGAGAGAGAGAGAGAACTTATTCTAGTTTCTCTTTTTCTCGGTATCCCCTCAGCCTTATGGGAGTCCATCTATTATTTAACATTACCCAGAATATGTTTGTTTGGTAAGGGAAATGCGGTCTGTAGGGTCTTTGCTCCCTGAGGACTCAGAGCAGACAGGGAAATTTGCGACAATTTTATGAAAGTATCTCCCATTCCATATTTTCTTCTGCAGTGTGACCCAACACATCCCATCCTTCTCTCTGGGCAGTTTTTTTTTTTTTTTTTTTTTTTGTTGTTTCTATATTTTTTCGATATTTTATGATGATTTTTTTTAATTTTCTTTTTTACAATTAAAGTTACAGCTTTAACAATATGCAAAATATTACAGTAATTAAGATTTTTTGGCATAATGATTACAGATTTGATAAATACATTTTATATCTCATAATAGCGATGAGGATTACACAAAAGCTCTTAAAACAATTATGAGAATAAATTCTATTGTCACTTAAGTATCTAAAGCTATTTTCCTTTGCGTTCTTCCAGAATGATTTGTTCTTATTCTTTACCTTAATTTGAGGGACTTCAAGAAGATACTTGTTTTTTTTTTCTCATACAGAAGAATTCATTCCAAGGCAATTGACATTGAGACGTTTTCACATGCATTTCTAATCTCTATATACATGACTATCACTGGTCACAGTCGCCCACCTTCTGAGCTCCTCGGCATCTGAGCATGAATACAAACTCGTCAGATAGACAGCCTTCCTCTCCCACTAGAGGCTCCATACTCTGCCATCCCTGTCACTGTCTACTGTGTTGTCAGCACCCTCATCCATTCCCCCCGTCTGCCCTTCTGGTAAATCTAGTCAGCCAGAGGTCCTTGTTCCAGGAGGGTCAGCTGTTCCTCATTTACGGCAATCCATTGACAGTATTCCTTTGGATAGAATTGGGGTCTGCTGTTCATTTTTCCTGTAGTATGTTGGGTTACTGTCTGGAAGAGCCTTTATCTATCCTGGCCCACAACTCGACTGAAGGTATCGCCTGTCTGGCTTTGTTGTTTTTAACTGCTTTGACTAATGAAGGATAGAGAAAGTGAGGTTAGTTGACTTCCAAGCTCACATCACAAGAGTTCCAACCTGATTCCCTCCATTCACTGTCCTTAGGATGTCCCCACCATGCTATGAGATGACACATTTCATTTCCCCCCACGTCCCCTCATGAAAAAAGAAGTTCTAGGTGACTCTATCATCCAGTTCTTGGAGTCAATTTCTTTCCAAATATTTGCTTCTTTCTACTGAAGGAAAAGTCAGAACTGAACCAAGCACACTCAGCTGTGTCCCAAGCTCTAACAAGTTCAGGACATTGTTTCAAGCTTTTTAATGTAGCCCTACAGAATTAAAGTCCCAATGACCATGATACTTGTTTAATGCATAGTTATATGAGCATACTGTCTAATATATTGTATTTGTTATAAAAACACGTATTAAAAACAGAAATAAAAATGGAGTGTGCTAAAATTAGATGTGAACAGTAATTCTAACATTTTGTTCATCCATGCCTATCCCCAGTCATCCTGGAGACCACATACTATGCACATTAAAATACGTGGTCAGTAGAGAATGTACTGTGACATCTATGGTATGTTAATTAGTCAATGACTACTCCAGCTAAACAGTCAATGACTGTCCCAGTGATTTATGAGGAAGATTGGGAGCAGGGACAGAGGAAGGGCATCCTGGGGAGGTTCTTTGGGAAGGAGTGCTTGAAGTACAGGAAAGGTAAAAGTCCAGGAAAGAAAGTTCTGTAAGATGGAGCAAAGGGCCCTAGGGAGAGTGGAGATTTTCATAAGCTGTATCAGGCTTTGAGACAATTTTGGTTTTATTTCTCTGATGCTATTCAGTGGAACCATCACAAGATCCCAGTTTCCTGTGCATTCCTGTGGGCACTATGTAAAGGTGAGTGGGTAGGGATGTTGTGTTACAATTTCATTAACACAGTGGGTGCTGTTATTGAAAGCTGATTCTAGGATTTTGTGCTTCAGAGATCTGAATCTTTTTAGAAAGAGATGATGCTGAGTTTTTCTCTAATATTTCTCACTTACTTTGAGGAAGCTCCAGTGTGTTTCCAATGTATACCTGATGTCTTACTAGAGTTTTGACAAATGGGGTCAATTATAGAGGTCTACCAACCATGAATTGCATGTGCTTGGTTTTTTGACTATAGTGAGTTTTCTATAAACAGACTGGGTTATTTGACTTGAATATCTTAGTAACAAGACATGCTAATTTACTCAAGGATACCCCTCTACCCCTTTATACTTAGGATACGTGTTTTTCATATTGGATTTTCCTATTGGGGCTTCAGAATGCTCATCTTCCCTTGTGATGAATTCTTTATAGCCTGTCACCAGACACAGACAGTTTAGTGATCACTCTGTTTCTTTTTCTCAATATTTCTACTTCATTACTGACCATAATCAGTCAGCATTTAGGCTGCTACCTATATCCCATCTAGGGTTGCCAGACTACATGAATTAAAACACTTCAGTTAAATTTAAATTGAAAGTAACAGTTTTTAATTTAAGTTTGTTGCAACTTCTGTAACATTTGCATACTTATTCCCATTGGTTGTTATCACGGAAATTCAAGTTCAGTTGGGTGTCCTATGTTTTTACCTGGCAAACCCCAGCACTGCCCTCTCTTGGTCTCATTCTTGTAGCATTCACAAGGGAACAGAATACCATGGAAACTTTTATCTCTAGACAAACCACTTCTGAAGTGGAGATTTGTCCTTCGTTTTTCTCTTTCCTGGTCAAGCTTAGCTTAGTTTTTCTTCTATCTCAGATGTGCCCAGACATGTCAGTCACAGCAACTGTGCTAACTTGTTTCTGATATTGGACAATGGTGATATTAAAAATCTTGGTTTAGAGTTCTCCAGATAGCTGGTCAGTTACTCATATAAACCCACAGCAGTGGTGACAGCATGCACAATTCCTATGCAAGCTCAAACCAGAAAAATTCCCAGCATAGACATGAAGAAATGGGTATAAAATTCCAACCCAACTTAAGGAACTTTTGGCAACTGATGGCTGCTGGGAGGGGGAAAGACAGGGATGGGACTCTTAGTAGGTTAACCAGGCTCCAGTGGATGGACTCACACTGAAGAATATTTGGGGGTACAAATATAGAC